ACTGGGTGTTATATGCAAACAATGAATCATGGAACACTACATCAAAAACTAATGATGTAATGTATGGTGATTAACATAACATAATAAAATAAAAAATAAATAAATAACTCTTCATGAGGACTTGGTAAAGGATCTTACAGGCACAAACTTGACTTAAAGATTTCCCCTAAAGCATTTATTAATGTGAAAATATTTTGTATTTTTATTGTTATCACTGGTATTGCTGTTTCTTTGTTTTTCTAGCTGTAGATATAGGGATTGAGAAATAGTTTTGTTTCTAATACAGAAGATAATGGCTCTTTTTTATTTAAAAGTTTATTCTTCAGTTCATCTCTCTCCTCTTGAATATTATGTGGAATCTTTGATATTCTGCCTAGAAGTCTCCTTAACCAAATTAAGTGTCCATGCATTTTCTAATTTCTACATTTACTGCAGTTGACAGTGCTGTCAAATTTCTATGACTATATACTTCCATCAACTCCAGTATTTTCCTTGCATTCTTTTAAGCCCTCCCTGAAAATCTTCTTCAGGTTCATTAGGCATCCACTAACACTCTCCTTGAGATCCTTTATTATTTCATTTTGAGTCTCTCATAGCCTTCTTCTTGACCCCAGAACCTGGGCCAAAATTTTTAGACATTTGTTAAGACAAATGCACTTCCAGGCATAACTTTTTTTTGTTCTGCTTAGCTATTAGTGTGTAACAAGCCATCTCAAAACTCAGCCACTTAAAACAACAATGGTATTTTATTATATTTCACAATTTCTCTGAATCAAGAATTCAGAAAGATCTTGGCTAGACATTTCTGTCTCAGTCATTCATTTGGTTGCAGTAAGATGGTGTATGAAACAAAACAGTGTGGAGGAACTGAAGTAGACAAGGGAATGGCTGGCCATCTCTGACTCTATCTTTTTATAGTCCTAAGGCCACCTTCTTGGGCTCTCATAGTTCTGTTCAGTATTATACTATAACACGGAAATAAAAGAAATATAAGTCCTTTGGAGAATGAAT